GACATTTACAAAGCGTCACGTGTGATGTTTACAGAATGACTGGTCCACAGCTGTATAATCACATACATCTTTGCTAAAAACTAGTTTTTCTAAGTCTCCTCTTTTCAGGGAGGGCTCTGGAGAGTTCCACACGGTCTGAAAAGAAAAGAGACTCAAGTCTCCTTTCTCCTGGTAATTAGATATATAGCTTATTTCTTAATAAAATGTGTTTCACAGCAATACATTGAACAATCAGAAGGAGAGAACAAACCTAAGGGCACTAGAGATGGGGGGCAGGGAGGGAGGCGGTTTGGGGAGTGATAGGTCGGGTAAAGGGCATAAAGAAAAGCTACAATTTGGAATAATGAATATGCTCATAATAAAAAATAAAAATTAAAAAAAAAATAACATGTGTTTCCACTTGTTTTTTCATCTGTTTGGTGAGGAATTTAGACTCTGTCAATTCAAAGAGTTGTCCAGCTCTAACACGTTCACATTCTGTTCGGTACCTTTGTGGGAAAATCGCTCCGTGACATATTTGCCCACTGCCTTCTCTCATTCCAGCCAACGCCTGAAAAGTCACCACTTTCTTATCCCAGGCCCCTGCATCTAGTCCAAAGAGGCAACTCCAGTTTTCTTGCGTAAAGACAAATAAAAACATGAATATTTCCCTTCATAGCAAAAAGGATATTCTGCTGCACTTTTGGCTAGAAAATATTGATACTAGAAACGGGGGTGGTGGGTGGGGGGTGGAGGGAAGCCGGGGAAGTCCAAATTATTTTTTGACTCAATTATGATATGATTATTATTAGTCTATAAAAACAATAGTTATCTTAAGTCTGGTGTGGCAGCACAAATTTCTTTTCAAAAATGGACTGGAAAATTGCTTAGGTTAAATTCATACCTCAGAAAGCTTAATACCATTTGTTAAAAATGTTAAACCAATTTGAAATTTTAAGGCTTTGATATACTATTGACAACTTTTAGAATCAGAGGAGATTATATTGAATGTATATGTTATATCAGCTCCAAGCACATGATTTTAAACCTGCTTTTCAAGGTCAACTTTCTGGAAATCCTATTTCATATTTTTAAGGGAGGGCCACCTTTCTAGAAAGGAAAATAATTACTAAATAAGGGCACAATGAGAATATTTATGTGCAGCAACTTGCCTCATGAACTCATGTCATTAAGGCATCATCTGTGTTATTACTGTAGTGTCGTGGGTGTCTTCCTACTTCACAATATTGCTTTTGTCACTCAAAAATTACAAATCTTTATAACTCCAAATCATGTTATTTAGCAGTAGTTTTTATCAGGATTGAGCATTTAGGTAAGAGAAAACATCTGAAGTTGTTTTTTCAGAGCCTCCCTTGTCCGGTAGCACTCACGTCCACACATGTGGAAGTCTACACGTGCTGACACAGCTGAAGCCCTTGTGTAGGCATGTCTTCGAAATATTCAAAATGTATTTATAATGCAAAAATGAATCAACTCAGGAGTTCCAAGCAGAAGTAAGGCTTTACATTCTTTTATTGGGTTGTAAAGGGAGAGATAAGTCATCTTAGTGATGAAAAAAACCAAAACAAAACAATGTAAATGACACAAAATCTAAGAGTATCTGTTAAAAGTTTCCCTCCCCGGTAGTGGATCTCAGAACACCACTTGGCAATCACTGGTACGGAACAGGGGTATCAAGCACACATTCTGGAAAATGTAGCTTGGGATCAGGCATGCAAACTCCTTAGGCATCAGAAGGAGCCAAGATTTCTGGATGCATTTTAATAAACATATAGTGAAATTCAATTTGCTGAGAGGAAAATTGTCAACGTCCGTATAAAGGGAGTTAATTTTCTCCATAGAGAGCTAATAAGTTAAAAAATCCTACACAGACCTTTGAAGAACAAATTTTCCTTTCACTTGGTGGTGAAGAGTAGCTGTGTGCTCTGCTGGGCGAGTTGTTGCCCCTGTGGCCTCCACCTCAGCCACCTGTCCCTTACACTGCACACGGTTCTCCTTTGTGCTGATGCTAGCTAGCAGGGTGGCAGTGCTTTCAACCCCAAAGCTCTTCACCAACTCTAACCAACCTTCATAACACCCCTATGAGGTAGGTAAATAAATATTCTCTCTCTTTTACATGGGGGAAAACGAGGCCAAGGGGGAATTTCTGAGGCTGAAGAGATGGACCAGGGATTAGGACTCAGGTGTGCACAGATTCTTAGTCCCTTTGTTTCAATCACTGGGCTATCACCCTCAGGTCCCTGCAACCAGAAAGGAATGGATTCTGTAGCATAAAAGGACATCGTTTTGTAGAATATATGTAAGTGAGTTTAGACCAGTCATTACATTCAACACAGGTTTTTGGTTTTCTACCAAACCATAAATTCCATTCAATTATCACATAAAGATAACTGAAAAAAAAAAGACTGTTTTTTTGTGGTTGTCAATTGATTGTCAGCTCTTTGTTGCTAATTCAACTAAACATTCTTTCAATAACATGAAGGTAAAAAGATCTGTAAAAGAGAGAGTGAAGTAAAAATCTCAAGGAAAAAGGAAAGCAAAACCGAGTTGGGTTGGTACATACATCTGCAATGGGGAGTTGCAGCTGGTTCTGAAGGTTTTCACGGTGTCTGAGCAGCAACCACAGCCCGCCCTCCTAAAGCAAGATGATAAATCACAACTAGCACAGGACACTGCCACCGTGGGTGGCTGCAGACCCTTGCCACACAAGGAGGCTATCTTTTTCATTTCAGGGAAACTTCTCTGTCTGAAGGAAGGAGAGACCCAACAAGGAACTTCATTGCCAACCCCATCAAGTTGTTTGAACTTGGCATTGAATGTAGAATTTGACACAATCAAAATACTACCTAAGAACCTTCAAAACATTTGGATTTTCTCTGGAAATCCCCTCAGGATTTTTGCATCACCGAATACTTTTCAGGCTCTCTGTGCGTGCCTGTATTCCTCTCTTAGCAACTTCCACTACATAAGTGTTCCTAAGAGAAAACTGGTCTGAAAAGCTGGCCTGCTTTTCTGCCAAACTTCAGAATGGTAAATGAGGTAAGCATTCAATTTGAGGAAACACACCTGTTCACCAACCCAGAGCCAAATCAGAAGAAACAAGACCAACTGCCTAGTGTTACAAGGAAGAAATGTCCACAAATAATCCCAAATATGAGTCCACATGAACCTCTCTGGAGAAGGAATTTCTCTTTGATGTCAACTTTTTCTTTTTCTCCAGGAATTTTAACAGTGACTACAAAGAAAACACTAATATTCCAATATCTGAGATAACCAGTCAGTGCTTGGCAATCAGAATGACATCAACAAAACAAACAAAAATTATGTATTTTGTTTGATTTGAGAAAAATAGCTTTTACTTCTATCGACACAATAAAATTCACTATGAAATAATTGCATCAAGCAGTTTAAAACAGTTTTAGACTTAAAAGGTATAATAGGGAATGCTTGAAATTAAAGCTTCTAATTGAAAAATAAAAAGTTAAATCTGTATTTCTCTTGAACCATTCCATTTAGTATTAGTATACTTTGTGAATGATTAAGGTTATACGAACAGCAGAACAATGATAAAATTATAAAAGATGGCAAAGGCTGAATACTAAGTTTCCTTGCCAGTAAAGGGCCATCTCTGGAACGTCCACTCTGAAGGAGGACAGTGCTGTAGTCACATCCAGAACACCCAGGACAGCCTCCCAAACCTCTTCCATTCATGCATTTGCCGAAAGTAAATAAAAATCAAATAAAATTTGCTCTGCATTATTTATTTCTCTTTGCACAACAAAGAGACTCTTAGAAACAGAATATCATAAGCAATCGAACACTGCACAAGAAAGCTCAATTCCATTACCTACAACACCTGAGCAGCTCAGCTATCTTTTTTTTTTTTTTTTTTTTTTCCTTTTTG